TTCCTTTCCCCTTTGGTCCTTCTAGTTACTTTTGTCTGCACCTGCTCCCTATCGAATAATTAGCCCTACCATTGTTCTGTCTTCATAAACCTCCCGTTCAGTTACTTGCTGGATCCTTGTCATTCCTTAGCTTTATTCCTCCCTAGCATCTCCTAGTTTGTTCGGTTCCTGAGTTTGTTTTCGAAAGATTTCTGATTATGACCTCTATATTTTTACTTCTTCATTAAATTCTGCATGTAATCATCTCTGCCTCTTTAGCTCTGCATTTGGGTCCACAGCAATATCCACCAATCTTGGCATTATTCCAACATAATATATGGAACCGGTTTGAGGTCTGGATAACTGTCATGTTGATGATCCAGTTAGTTACACTCCATTTTGTGAGGTGTTATACTGCCCTCCATTTTCACGTGGCAGCAACTCCAACCCAGATCATGACTCCTCCACCACCGTGCTTAATAGTTAGTAGAAGGCCTTTTTTCTAATATGCTTTGTTAGCATTTCTCCAAACTTATTTATTATTTATTAGTCCAAGGGAAAATGTCAAAAATTTCCTATTTTTTAATTCTGATGCAACTTCGAACATTTTTCACTTCTAGAACCTTTTATATTGTCAAATGATAGACTTCACAATGTTTGGAAGTGATCATCTTACACCCAGTTCCAGATTGCAGACATCAAAATTCACTTCTCTAAGGATGTTGCTGATGCCATTTTTATCTTGCAGTTGTGTTAATCCAGACTAGCAAACTGACAAAATTGGTTTAATCTCAGTACTCTTAGTGATATTGAGTAACTAAAGTGCAGGTGATTATCATAAAGGATTTATTTGGTTTTTCCCATTACTGAATTATATCTTTTTAGGGAGCCAAAAAAATCAGTTCATTTCATTAAAAAAAACATGAACAGCCTAAGAACCATCTGAACGTAGAAGACGTGACATGATCAGAACAACAGTGGCCATAGCCTACCTTCCTTGCAGTCATGATTATTATCATGCAGCATAAACCCAGAGCGGCACTGACATCTGTAGCTCCCAAAGGTGTTCACACATTCATGCTGGCAGCCTCCGTTACCTGTGGAGCACTCATCTATATCTGTGGAGATGTTCAAAATCTGTTGCTGGACTTCAACTGCTTTTCAGTACAGAAAAAATATGAACAAACAGGCTGCTGTAAAACATGCAATAAGCCTAAATTATTCCTCCAGACATGGATATATTTGGTGCTGTTGTGTTTAATAAGTTGACTTATATTTATACTACAGCAACCTCACCAATTAACACTGATGGTAAATATGTGTTTGAAAAATCAAAGATTTAAAGGCTTTTATGCTGCTGCAGTTTTCTACCACTGAGTTATTTTTACACCCAGCACCACCTTCCTGACTCGGGGTCACAAGATAAACGCTAGTCTTTTTCATATTTGTTGCAGCTCCAATTTCTTCCAGCTTTCTATTTATTTCCCTGACTTTCTCTGACTCTTTGCCAAGACAGGCTGCCTGGTTGACTTTTCTGTTGTGCCTTTAGGCTATTCAAGATCTGCAGGATTGCATCAGTACTTTTTCAGATTCATCAAAAGCTCACCAGAGAAGAAGTGGGCCTTGAAGCCTCTCTTGGACACAGTATTGTCTGACTTGAACTCAATCCTCATGTTGTTCTGAAGAGAGGTGATGACGTCAGGTTTCTCCGTGCCGCAGAACTTGCCGTAGATCTTGGAGTCGGAGCTCAGACCGCTGCGCACCTCAACGTAGTCGTACTTACAGACCTGTTCAGATCCAACAGGAAAACTCCATCTTAATAAGGAAAGAAGAAAAATAATGAAACACTACATCCAAATCTGAGCAGAACCTACATCGTTGCCTTCTGTCTCAAAGCCATCAAAGACCAGGGTGATTCTGTACTGAACAGGAGCCACCAGCTGCCACACACAGTTCTTGTTGTGGGGGTACTCTTTGGGCCAGCCTGGGGTGGATAGGGACCCGTTCAGGCTGGTGATGAATCCGCCACATGCAGCTGCTGGAGGGCATGACAGAAGAAAAGGGATTGCAGAAGAAGAACTAATGCATTAGTAAGTTAAAAACATCTGTAGAACCTGTGGGAGTGGTGGCATGGTGTTTGAGCCCTGGAGAGGCCGCAAAGGTCGCTGGTTTGAAACTCAGACTTTCGTTGATAGTCTGAGCAAGACCCTGAACCCCACAATGGTTTACAGTAACAATTTACAGTAAAAAAGGAAATAAAATGCAGGAATCATAATATAATAATCAACATTTCAAATGGAAAAAAAAACAACAACAAAAAAACTGCATTTGAAGTAAAAAACTTAAAAATATCTTTACTGAAGAACATTATGATGGATAATTCAGAGTGAGAATTTTGTTAAAAGCCTAAAAGAGATTTGGATAAATTAGATACATTTCAAACTAGTTTAAAAATAATACTCCAGAAAAAAAGCGGATTTCTAAAAAAATATCAAAACAATTGTTCTTAGGTAAATTCAATTATTTAGACGAATAACATCTTTTAAGTATTTTGTGGGACTGATTTAAACCTAAACAACAAGTTAAGAGATTAAGTTTACTCGTGTTTTTCTAAATGGTGTAAAGAGTCAAAATTCAGTATTATTTTAAGCAAATAAATAAATATAAAATAAATAAATGTATACATTTTTGCTGTCATTTAGTTCTCAAGTTAAGGCTGCAAGAGTACTGCCCCCTTGTGGCTAAAGGGGAAAGTTTCAATCGTTCTCTAAAAAAGGTTTAGATTATAATAAGAGGCCACTTGATAAAATATCATTCTACAGTTTACACTGAGTTCTTTATATAACTGTTGTCACAGTGGAAATCTGATGGCTAAAATACTTGGCTATGATAACAAAGGAGCCTTTACAGTATTGTTAAAATAGCAGAAATGCTATTCTGGGGTATTTTTCTGTAAACAAAATAGTACATATGTATAAAGTGTAAGTGTGGTGTGTACTACTTTCAGAAGCCATTTCCATTTCTTACCAACTGTCCATCAGCATCGCAGAGAACTGGTACCTATCTTGATCTCTTTTGATAAAAAGCAGGGAACACCATGGAAAGGTCACAGATCCATAGTGAGACAATAGAGGGACCTACAAACCATGCACAATTACACCTAGGCCATGTTTTAGTGGGATAAAGTCTCAACACTGAATAAGTTCAGTATTAGGCCTAAATTGCTGCATATCCCGCATAATAAGTTAAAAAAAAGTCTGATAGCCATTATCCAGAGACAAATTTATCCTGTAAATTACTCCTGGAAAAACAAAACAAAAAAAACTAGTAGGATTTCCTGAAATTATCATAAATCTGTTGAACATTGAAGCTGAGACACAAGAAAAGAGTCAGGAAATGTGTCCTTTACTGCAGGAACCTGTAGATCTTGGAGAGCAAACGGTCATTATGCTCCACATGATTAGATGGAATTTTAATATGGATTCATAGATTTATCAGCACAGATCTATATTTTTCCCGCAGTCAATAATGAATCTTTTAGCCACAAATGGCTCATATGACACAACAAGGACACATTCATTGTGCTGCACTTCATTGCTATGCTGAAGTAAAATTGTCAGGGATTCAAAGTTAAACTGTTTCAAGAAATTATGATCCATTAGAGGGATCCATTAGATGGATTATAATTTAATAGTTTAATTCCGCTTTCTGAAATGGATCCTATGGGCAATTTAGATACAAACAACTCAATAGTTATGTCTTAGGACTGTGGGAGGAAAGCAGATGTGCACACAGAGGGAAAACATGCAAATTCCATGTAGAGAGCTTAGGCCAGCACTTCAAATAAGGACCTTCTTGCTGCAAGGCAATAGTGCTACAAACTGCAACACATGGACTAACATTTTCAAATTGATTTAACACTGATTGTGATGCTGCTTTAAAATAAATATTACAAAGTATAGAATTCTGCATTTCTGTATTAAACTGAAATGTTGGTTTTGATGAGACAAAATGTTAAACAAGATGGATAATACTTTTGCAAGCCTTTGTCTGTGCAGTAGATAAAAAAGACTTTCAAATGAGAGAGAAAAGTGTGAGCCTTTATCTCCTGTCTTCTTCAGTAATAACTGGTGTGAATCGTCCTCCACACTCACCCTCACAGCTGCGTTTGTCTGCTGCCAGCTCATAGCCAGGGTCGCAGACGCATCTGTAGCTGCCCAGCGTGTTCACGCAGCGCTGCTCACAGTGCCCGTTGTCAGGTCTGGAGCACTCATCCACCTCTATTTTAAAAGAAAAACTGGAGTAAGTGTTGAACTAAAATCTGGGCACACACTTTGTAGCCGGGAGGAATCTCTGACCTTTTAAAAAAGTGGCAGCAAACCCCGCCTTGTTAACGGAGCCATCAGATACAAACTTCAGCCAGAGCTGGTTGGAGCTGCTCTGAAGGTTCCCTGGCTTGTCGTAGCCACAGAACCGGCCTAGTAACGGGCTGCTGTCAGAACCGCCATCCCTCACTTCCACAAAGTCGTAGGCGCAGGTGTCATGCTTCTCAATCTGCACTCACAGCATAATAAATGAATGCTGCTGCTGTTTGGGATGCATACAGATAACACAACACATATATGTAGACTACTTATGCAACCATCTTGGACTATTTGAATTAAACTACATTTACATACTTGTTGGTAATGACAGAACTTATCAATCAAAATATTGTGAAACATTCTTTTTTTTTTTTTTTTTTTACACATATACGGCATCAGCAAAATACAGGAGTCAGTAATTGTATCTTTTTTTTCCCTCCTTTTACCTCAAATGACTGAAAGATGAGGCCGACTTGAAAACCCTCTGCCACTGTGATCTTCCAGACACACATTTTGTTGGAGTGGTAATCATCTGGATAGTTGGGGGACTGAATCTGACCATTGTCTTGCTTCAACTCTCCTCCACAGATGGCTGCAGACGGGTAAGAATAATGAAAGAATCGAACAACAGAATGACTGCTGTTTAACGTGTGAATATGTTGCTTTCAAATATTTAAAGGCCAAACAAAAGGTAAATAAAGACAAAAGGTCCTGACTGAGCTTATTTTCAAGAATTATAAAAACACAAATAGAAAAAAAAATCTAAATTCTAAAAATTTTTAGAATAAAGGTGTAAAAAATATAGAAAAAAATAAATCTAAATTTAAAACAAAGTGCAAAACTAAGAACAAATAAAAATAAGGATTTTTTTTTTATTTTTTTTATAAAAGGTACTTTTAAAATAACTATTTAAATTCTGGAAATGACAGTTAGACAACAACATCCCAGCAGAGGGCAGTATAACACCTCACAATTTTTGTTTTTATGGGACTAAAAAGAAGAGTATTTATTTAATATTTACACCAGCTTATCTCCAGCAGTCATTTGAAAATAGATTCCCTGAGTGTGTCCTCTGTCTGCCACATGGTACAATAAAAGACATTTTATTCAGTGGTTTTGATTATAAAATAAAAAATTCAGGGAGTAGAATCTTTTTTTTCAATTATTGGTCTGTTCTTACTTTCTAAACATGCAATTAAACCAGTTTGCTTAATGTTTTACCTTCATACAAAGCTGAAAAGCCTTTGCCCACCCAATTGCTGCTGCTTCTGAATTCGATCCAAAGGTGACTATCGTTGGAGATGATCGGATCTGGAATGGTGTCCCCACAAAAACGGCCTGCCAAAGAGATAAAGAGAACATTTCCAGAAAGAATATACTCCCTAATATAATTCATAAAAAAAAATGAAGGACATAAATACAGTTACAGATGATAAGTGGTCAGATTTAACAATTGATTAGTAATTGAAAATAAAAAGGCATCAAGTCGACCTTTCAAAGGAGCCTTTCTCCAGTACCCGTCTCGAACTTCCACATAATCGTACCAGCAGAGATGACTCCTGAAGAGATCCATGGACGTAAAATTAAGGACAATCTGAGAAACAAAGGAGAAGAAGGTGAGCATAACAGCAGGAAAATATACAGGCTTAACGTGTACAAAATTCAAACGAGTTCAAATGTTTATTTCACTTTTTCACCTGGAGTTTATACTAAACTGATCCTGATAACCGGTGTCCTGTTATTTTAGATGTATCTCTACCAAATCCAATAATTAGTTAATTAGCATAAATCTGAAGAATTTCACTGAATTCTTAGGAGATCATTTACTTCGGAGTCAGATGTTGTTTCAGATACAGATTCAGGAACAGTAACACATCTAAGAGCAGCCCTCTACATTTTCTTGTCACCTCTGCAATGATTTTGTATAAATCCTGCCAAATAAACTAATCTAAACTAAACGGTGTGGGTTTAAAGTCATTCATTAAAAACAAGCTGCTCAATGTATGACATTTTCAGTCATGAGAAGTTATGAAACATATAAAAGTATATGAAACATCAATAGGTTGTTACATTAATGCTGATTTTGCAGTTTCTATCCTAGTCAGTTAAATAACAAGCTCATTTTTGCACATCTTGATGTTGCTACGGTACTTTTTTCAAATATCCATTACTGTAAAAATGTCCATAGCTGAATATTGCTTATTCCTTCTCCAGGTGCACAGTTTTATATTGTTAAAACACTTTACAGTACAGTATTTTATTGTTAATCTTTTAACTCTTCACTAGTATGTTATTCCTCTAAATTTTTTTAAGGTCAACATTTGTGTGACCATTTTTTCTATAATCTTTTTGCTGCTGTAAACACCAGAATTTCTCCATTGTGGGACAATTAAGGGATTTTCTTTACTATTTTATTCTATTCTATTCTATATTTCAGGCTATTTATGCATTCAGTTCATATCCTATTGTTGGTCGAATCAATGAATCTTTGATTGACCCCCTGCTCTCTTGTAAAAAAACACTGATGCACTTTTAGCTGGAGTACTCCAACCTGGCTTGATGTAGCTGCACTTGTTGAGCCTGGCTTGGCATTTGTGAAACGGATAAAGCCAGGATGCACTGTTCACACAAGGTGAAGCTGGGCTTCATCTCTTATCCTGTTTTTTTTTTTATTTTCCTTTTGTCAAACAGCCCCGTGGTCCAAAGTAAAACAACAAAGAACCGACAGGAACAAACTCTAGAGATGCATCACTCTCATTCATCTCATTAATACGACTGGAAGTTTTTGACTTAAATTACAAAATAAAAAAAATCTGTCTTTGGATGATTTTAATGCATAGAAAAGCTCTCTTATGCTAAAGTTTTATTTCTTAATGTTATTTTCTTATCCTTTATGCATGCATAAATTCATCAAATAAAAGAAATAAGGATTTTAAAAGAGGCTTTCCCCCCTTTTATCATGATGCAAAAAGATAAACTGGCATTATATATTGGAAAAGTCTTAGGAGTAAAGTCCATGCATCTATTTTTGACAAAATAGATACAGGAATGAAATAGATTAATCACCTTTTCTCCTGGTGTGACAGAAATCCTCCAAACGCAGTGAGTGTAGGCAGAGTATCCATTTGGAAAACCAGGAGAAGAAAGATTTCCAGCACTTTCCTGCAGGCTGTCTCCACATTCTGCCAAAAAGGAAGTAAAAATCACAAAAACAAATGCCCAAAGATAACATTCATAAAGATAGATAATAATTTTGCCATTCAATTTTAAATCTATTTTTCTCCTACTTGCACATTTGTAGAGCTTGCGGGCTTGAGCAATGTCTCCTTTGCTGAGCCTTGTCCTCTGTCCAATGGGTGGCCGAATACCATTGACATCGTAGCGAGGCAAGATCGTGTCCAAGAAGACGCTTCTGTCTCACACAAAGTGGAAATCTGTTTTACATTTTCTTAAAGAACCATTTAGAAGTTAATCATGATACAAAATTAAGGTACATACAGAATAGATGGAAATGAGCAGAGTTTGTTTGGAGATGCTAATGTAATCAACTCCTTCTCCTCTTCATCACCTTCAAGCTTTAAATACCTTGATACTTTTTATTTATTCTGATAATCCCTCTCTGGATTTACTGCCTCCACTTTCGCTCTGTTCCCATGGTGATGAAACCATGAATGACAGGCATGTACAAACAAAGCACTCTGAACGGAGCCGTTGGCCAGTGCCAGTCGGCTCAGCGGGTCCCGCTCCTGAATGCCAGAGGAAAAAAGCCACTCTAGCCCAAATTGTTCAACAAAGCCTGAACAGGCCGGGCCTTTATTTACCTTGGCATGCATCCATGACCCAGAGCCCTGATGAAGTTATGGGAGTAAAACACCAGAGCAGAAGCAGAGAGAGGTAACAATACGCTTGAAACAGAAAGCTTTTTGGTAACAACCTAAATAGATTATTAATGAACTGATAATAAAAGAGGGACAAACATCAGGTCTCTTCAAACCGATGTGACTAAATCCAATATCTCAAGCATGATGTGGAAAGAGATTGATTCTCCTTGAACTTTTTTTGTTTTTTATAGGTTATGTAAGAAACTGAAAGATTTGTGAAGAAAGTGGAGAAATAATGAACTTGTTGACACAAAACAGAAGCATTTACTGTGGATTTTTAAATAGTCTCCTTCCATCAGGAAGGATAAATCTATGCTCCAAACAAGCTTTATACGTTTTTACATATTTTGTTTTGTAAACTGACTGCTTCATCATTTTTCTTCTTTACCTGAACATGTCTTCATTTTCATGATTGCACAGATTTTTATTTTTGAGATAATTTTTATTTTTTTGCTCTTCTGCTATACAGCTTAAATGTTCAAATTTTGCTTTAGGGCCAGTCTTTGCATAGGTTATGTGTCATCAAACTATTTGTTTTTGCCATCGTTTATCCAAATATCCCCAATGATAGACAATACATTTACAGAGAGTAAAATGCTATTTTTTAAAAGTTCTCCCACTTATAAATCATAGAGGGGTCGGACATTGCCATCTTAGGTATATGTCAACATAATCTAAAAAATAAAAAATAAAAAAATCCAGAAATCACAATATATGATTTTTTGACTATTTATTTGTATGATACAGCTGCAAATATATATTTGAACAACTGTTAGTCTGCCTTCTAAATATCCACCTCCACTCCATTATTATCTTTAATTAGATGCACCTGTTTGAGGTCGTTAGCTGCATAAAGACACCTGTCCACCCCATACACTCAGTAAGAATCCAACTACTGACATGGAGAGCTGTCCAAAAACACTAGAGACAAAATTATACACCTCTGCAAGGGTGGAATTACCAAACAGCTTGGTGAAAAAAGTCATTAGGAAATGGAAGAAGCTAAACATGACTGTCAGTCTCCCTGGGACTGGGTCTCCATGTCAGATCTCACCTCGTGGGGTCTAAATGATCCTAAGAAAGGTGAGAAATCAACCCAGAACAACACAGGAGGAGCTGGGACCACAATTTCCTTGGTTACTGTTGGTAGTACACTAACGCATCATGGTTTGAAATCATGATTGGCACGGAATGTTACATTTTCATGGCACCATGAGCCCAGCACCCGAACTTCAATCATGCTAGTGGAGGCATCTTGCTGTGTGCTTGATTCAGTAGGGACAGAAAAGCCAGTCAGAGTCAATGGAAAGACAAATGGAGATTAATACAGAGCAATCCTGGAAGAAACCCAGTTAGAAGCTGCAGATGACGAGTGTCTGGGCGGGGCTTTCCTTCCTAGCAGCAGAGCGAAAATCATCAAGAACTACAATGGTTTAGGTTTAGGTCAAACATATTCACTTTGTATTGGTATAGCAAATAAAACTTTAATAAAATAAGGAAACTTACTACTTGAACTAAAGCACAGAATAGAAAAGTTCAATGCGTTTTAGTACGTCTGCACAAAGCTGCAACAAGTAATCATTAAACAAATTACTCATCACTGGAGAACATGTTCTGTCATGACAGAGTTAAGCGTAGAGCCAAACTGAGGTGAAGACGAATGCTTTAATAGAAAATACTGGAAGAACTTGATGGTTCTGCACAACATCTACAAAAGAAAAGAAAAACTCAAAAAGGTAACCATGCATAGAATACCAGAAGGTGGAAATGGGTATGGTAACAAACTTTCAAGTCATGAATTCCAATGCCAGTGCAACAACCCAACTTGATATTCAAGATGGATGCTACTCACATCAACAGTAGTTAAATTTTCCTACTTGACTGTTGGTAGCAGTTCTTTATTGTGCATGTAGCATTAGGTGAGTCATTCAGGTTCTACTGTCAGTGTTTATAGGAAGAGTTTTGTTGCTGTGTATATGGGAAGAATACTGCTTAGAACAGTGTTATTGCCATTTTTATGGTTTTAACAGTCATTGTAATGGCCTTTAAAAACAATGGTTCACAAGCGAAAAACTGGAATGCATTTATCTCGCAAACTACATCAGTTGAATACGTTATATTGGAGTCCCGAGGATGAGGGAATACAAAATATATACACTGAGGCAGGGGTAGAGGAATGACAAGCAAACTGGAAGAGTTTATTAGAGGGAATGACTTGCAGATTAAGCAGAGAGAGATAAATAACCAGAAGAAAAAGGACAGAAATATAAGAAACCCACAATCTAATAGCAAAAAACTCTAAATAGAGAAAAACAACAAAACACAAAATATGAATTAGTAAGACAAACAACCTATGATGCTAAATACATATAAGTAACTAAAGAAAGTAAGATCTGAAGTTTAGAGTGAAATGTAAAGAAATTATTACAATACATGCATGAAGAGAAGTAAAAACCAAACGCTGCAACAATCATAATGAACTTTATATAAATGTTAGATTTTCAGGTGGAGAACTGATGAATGATGAATCAGTGAGCATTTCTCAGAGAGTTGCTTTTTTTTCATCATGAAATGTGTTGAAATGGAAACAGAATAGTGTATGCTCAGCAAACCCAACTGAAAGGCAGTATAAATGAAAGCTGTTCCATTTAGGTGATGCAAAAGAAAGGTTAAAAAATGAGAACACAGCAACCCACCTGGAGAAGGTGTTCCTTGCATAATGCATGATACTCCCAAAGTCATAGACCTCTCCCAGAGAGTTCACCTCTCCAGGCTCCATCTTCATGAAATTATACTCTTGTCCTTTGGTAGATGTAATCAAGCATCAGCGAGCCGTATGCACAATAACAGAGACATTAGCGTATAGTAGTAACATGGTTACTACCTTAGTACCTGACTGGATGTTGTCTCTGACGATGCTTACGTGCTCGTCACGGTCAGGACGAGTGTGTTCATGCCAGAATCCGATCACATGGCCAAGTTCATGAACCACGATTCCAAATTTATCACAGTTTTTCCCGATGGAGATAGCCTGAGGTCCACCTCCTCTCCTCCCCACATAGGAGCAGCATCTGTAAGGTAGAGATCAGCTTGACTTATTTACTTTATGAACTGGAAAAATGGTTTTAACACGTTGTAAACGAGAAAGTCCACTTCCAAAAATCCTCTGTTCATCAGTTCATCAGGATTATGATCCCTCTAAAATATACCAGACCTCCAGCATACCGCCAGTGTTCTGTCAGACCAGCATACCTATAGTCAATACGCAGTGCAAGACATCAGATTTGCATTTATAACACTGCTTATTAGGGGATAATGATTTTCTAACTTTTTTCTCTTCACAGACCTTTGTTAAACTCATTAGTGAATCTGCTTATTTAGAATGTATCTGTAACTAAATCCCCCCTTTTCAGTTATTGAATAAAAACTTAGACAAAAGTTACTGGGATTTCCACTTTATGCATTCTGTTTTTGAATACTGGTCAAAATGTCAAGGGCTTTATTACCTGTTGCCTTAATCTGTGTCATAAATGCCCAGCTTATGCCCACTATTAGTATTTTTTTGTTTTTATACACAGCTTAGCTCCTGCAGTTCAAAATACACATACCTAACCATAACTTTAACTTTTTGGAAATGTAAGCTTGCACATTAACTTCTTAATAAATGAATCTTGTTCTTATGGAGTATTAGTTTAAAACAATTTCACTGTTGCATGTCATTAATTGATAATCAGTAGTTGCTCTCAATTAAATACTGTGAGGGAATTTGGGATTTCTCTTTTATTAATGTACATGTATCATTAGCATAGAACTAAATAGCAGTAAGAAAAAATACTATAAGAATATTAAAAATTCACAAAAAGTATATTATTAAGAATTGATATCCGCAAATATTATGATTAGAAAACTCTATAATGCCTCTTTAAGGCATTAGAAGAGATACTTCAAAGTTTAATGTTATTTATTTTCTTCATACTCGAAATTTTCAACAATTGCTTAAAACTCACCCGCAAGGCCTGTAGGTAAATAAAATGTAGCTCTCCTCAGTTGTCCTCTCAGTAAATATCACACAGGTATGTTTCTCCCAGTGGCGCATTGCTTGGCGAAATATTGTCCGCTGGCTGCCTAAGAAGGGATTCTGTAATTAGGTTTTGACAGATTTAGGTTGTCCAAGGTGAGCGTTTAGACAGAGGAAAGCCATGAAGGATGCCTGGCTCTCCTCAAAACTCACCACTGAAATTCCTGCTGATCACATATGGGATGATGCCATCCGGCCACAGTCGCTCAGGCCTGGAGGTGGCTGCTCTCTTCTGCCGATTTGGGCTCAAGTTGTCTGGAGCTCGATCATTAGAAGAGGAATTACTGGCTGTAAAGTGCATATGAAAATACAATATATATATTATCTTTTATGTGTCCTGAATAGACCTATTAAAATGACCATCTTCATATAGATACATGTTTTTTTTTCCTACCAACAGATACCTGAGATTGTGTGGTCAGCATGTTGTGCTTCATTGCTGCTCTGGCTGTTTTTAAACATGCGGAGATCTTCTTCATCCAGAGCAATGTCTCCCAAAAAGGCAGCTGTGCAGATATAAAACACACAAAGAAACATAAAATACAAGAGTCTCATCACAACCACACACTTAAATATAGGACACATGGTTAACATCATTCTTACTGATATCTGAAAAGTGATGCATTAATTTGCATCAAAACCCCTTTAAAGAAAATCTAAAGCAACACAAAATCTTTTTTATTAACTTTACATATCTTTATGCTTTTTTTTTCATATAATCTTAAGCAGATTATCAAATAAAATCGTATCATATATATATAAATCTTATGTAGTATATATATTAATCGCATGTAGTATTTAAGACACTAGCAGGAAATAAATAAAATTTATAAATTTAAAAAAAGCTAGTATTCTAATATAGTAACTAAGGGCCTTCTTTATCTAACCATCAGTATTATTTTCATCAAACCAAAAGGGAAGTCTTAAAATTTCTGACTTCTTAGATTACCTTTGGAGATGTATTTAAGACATTGGCTGGAAATAAATAATAGCTAGTGATCTAATTTGGAAAATACAGTCAAAATGTATGCCTCTTTTGTTGAATTAATGCTGTAGTTCTGACAATTCAACAATTTCCATGTTGTTTATAAAAACATAAGGTGAATCAGAGGGAGCTGGAATCGAAGGAGAGGAAAAACGATGATCAAATACATCAAGGGTTACATTTACTGCCTTCTGCATAATGAACGGGGGTTAGAAACTAATTGAGTAACATAGTACCCATGAAGGCTCCAAGTGTATTTAAACTTTTATTCCTAACTGATATGGGAGTTAAATTACTCTTCTTTTTGATTTCTCAGGTTTTGCAGGATTAGCTCCTCAGACACTTAAAAGGCAGAAGTTAATTTTCCTATTTTGATAAACCTTAATATTTAATAAAGAACCTTAATGCTATTCAAACCTTTACTTGTAGAAACAATATTTATTAAATTAACTGAGATTGCATATTACTGAGGGCCTTTTACCGTTGAAAGGTGATGCATAGAATTTATTTCTTAAGTCTGATTTAGGTCCATTTGGATTGCCAACATTTATTTCATTATGTAAATGCATAAATGAAAGTAAAGGCATGTTTTTTCCCTTTGTGTTGTTGATCATATGTTTTACAACACATAGCATATGCAAGCACCCTTTAATTTCTTTGTACCTTGTAAAAGTGACAGTGACATAAAAAGTGAACTTACAGTATTTATAAGCAGTAAAACTCAACTCAAAGGATCAGAGCTTCCTTCTAGAACCTTTTTACAATAGTTGGGTAGGAATTTTGATAGTTCTCTAAATATATAGAACAGGACTAAGTAGGTCAGGTTAATAGGTCATCTTGCTCATATCTTTCCGCTCTGGCTTTAAACACAGTATGGGATGGAAACTTTTACTTTACCCATTTTGTAGCTTATTTTGAGGATTAATTATAGTCATTGTTTCTTTAGAAGATTTGTGAACAAATTCTAAACTTCTCTTGAAAGGTTTCAAAAGTATTTCCAGATACAGTTCTTTACTCATCATGAAACCTATTTTATTAAAAGTACCAGTCTCCCCTGCAAAAAAAACAAAACAACAAAAAACATCTACACAACGTGGCTGCCACTACCATACTTTACAGATGAGATTATATAAACCTGGGAAGCCTCCACCTTTTCCCTCCAAACTTAATGTGTATATAATCATTATTATTATTATTATTATTATTATTATTATTATTATTATTATTATTATTATTATTATTATTATTATTATTATTATTATTTTCATCACACCAAAGGAGATGTTTCCAAAAATTATTTTCTATCTTACTGAGTGTATATACTACAGTAGCTAGTCTGGCTTCTAACATTACTCTTAAAGGCCTTTTAACCCATGTCAATCAGGATTATTTTGGTTCTGGGGTTGATAAGGATATTTAGCAACACATTTGATCCCTGAGGCACAGAACCCAGCTCCTCCCTAAGCAGTAATATGGGCTGAACATTTTTTGTGTTTATCCAATTACTAAATAAGACGGTGAAACAAACTGACTAAATCCTTTAGTTTTTTTTCCCATGTAATCTCATCAAAAACCAGTAGCTGCCCTGAAATACATCCAAATTTTCATATTAATTAAAGTGAACTACTCTGAATTAACCTAACAGAGATCTAAAATCCCATAACTTGGGGCAAACACAGAACATTTTTTATATAAACAGGTGAATTTGAAAAAGGTAATATTGTCTAATATTATTATGACATTAACCAAACATAAATCATTTTGACATTACCAGGAAAGTTTTAGAAAACAATGCATCAGGTTTCAGCTGTATGTACAACTTATATATAGGCTTAAAGGACTCGTAACATTGGAATGTTGGTGTTACTTAGGCACTATTTTTTTTTTTTTTAGAAAAAAGCCCTCTTTTTTTGTCTTGATTTAATTCTCTTCAGAGCTGTTTTATAATAGACAAAAGATTTGAATTCAACTGCATAAAAAAGGCAAAAAAAATGTCTTTATATGACTTTAACAGCAAAAGCACAATATGAAAAAGTTGCCTGAATCAACATTACACCTTTTTTCCCACCCTTACTTTGCTTTTTGATTCACAATAAATCTGCTGTGGTTCTCCGTGTCTACTGACAATTATATTAATTCACAGTCTGTAAACAGTCAAGGTTTAGAGGACCATGGAGATGAACATGAACAAAAGTTAGTAAATCCAAAAGAAATAAAAGGCTTTTATTTTTAATCAAAAGGTCATCTGTATAAAAAAGCTATGTGTTTCTAATGTTTGTCAGTTTGACTTTTCAAAGGAAACTTCTGCTCACTGGCTCACTTGATTTATTCCTTATGAGCACCTTGGTCTGCCATGAGGTTTAACAACCTTTGAAAGTACAAATGAGAGGATGTGGCCCGTCTTATAGCTGCCTTTGAAGTAGACTCAGTCATGCAGAGGGTGACTGTAAATGACTGCCACACCACCCCTGCAGAGCATGCACTCCGTGCCCTGCAGCCATGAGGGATTTCGCCGTCATCCAGCCGAAGAACAGAGCTGGCACGGCCTCTGTGACCTTAGGTCTCCAGGCAACTGCTTTAAAGTGGAGGAGAAGTGTGTTGTGAAAGTTCCTAAAGTCACAAGAAAAAAAAAAGAAGAAAGAAAACGGAAACCAAACCTGCTGGAAGCCTGTGATTACAACAGAACTGAAGGCCATGTTAGATGGTGGAAGCAGGTTGTGTTTAGTTTTTTTCATTCCTAATCAGAAAATGCAAGTAATTGAAGTTTTTAATATATTATTTCTATTTTATCTGTTAGTATTTTTTTTTTTATTATCGTATTTTCTTTTGTCACTGACTTTATCTACATCTGGGCCCAAAATAATTCACACCTTGCTCGAATTAGATTAAAGTGACATTCTAATTTTATAAATGTGTTTCTTCAGACATACTTTTATATATATCAGTATTGACATTTAGAGGAAGCATTAGTGTGGCACACCAGATTTAAGCACCACAAACATGGTGTATCAGACACGCTGTGTGTTAAATACACATGGTGTAAATCACTCTGGCTGGACAAGCTAAAGTGGCCTCACCAAAGTCCTGAGTTGAATCTGATGGAAATTAGGAAAGGGGCCCATATAATCTGGTCCAGAGATGAATAATTGCAAATCTGCAACCAATCTGGTCAGTGAATTTAAGAGGATTTAATTGCTGTACTGCAAATTGAGATTTTTTTGCATTAACTATTGTAAAGGCTATAAACAGTTTTTGCCATGTCAATGCAAGTACTGTAAATGTTAAATTGTTTTTAATACATTGATATTTCTTTTTTTATTTATTCATCATATTTTACAGAATATCTTCCTCATTGTTATTTAAAGAAAAGTATTTCAATGTGCCAAAGGTTGGAAGAATCATGTGAGCTAACTATGAAGTGAGAAACTGAGGTTTCTGCAGATCTTATTTCAAACTTTTTTTTTGCTTTTTATGACAAATAAATATACAGAGGAGGATTAGGGCCAATGAAAAAGCAAAAAAAGTTACCTGATTTTTCAATTTTATTTCAGTATAATATGAGAAAAAAGTCAGAAATCTGAGATTAAAGTCAGAATTCTGACTTTATTCCCATAATAAACTGAAATTATATTTAAAAATCTGTTCAATTCTTTTACTTTTTTCAGTGGCCATAATCCTCTTCCATAGAAATAAAACCAAAACCTCTAAAAATAAAGACTTGAAAGTAACAGTTACTGCCTCCATATATATATATATATATATATATATATATATATATATANTATATATATATATATATATATATATATATATATATAGTCTCATGTTTCCAAGGTTAGTAGCCTCACATACTTTTGATTTAGTATAACAATGAAAACCACACAGTGAGTTGTTTTGTGCTATACAAAACTTTTAGAATTAAGTGTTAAACAAAGATAGTATGATAACTCTCAATTTTAAATATGATTAATTGGTTTTAACTTAGCCTTTCAGGAGTATTTCTCAAAAGTTTTAAATTCACTTTTATTGTAAACTTTACAGTCATATATCATGCATTTATTCCTGCAAGTGTCAAAGTTTATTTAAATCTTATCAGTTTGAATAATAATAATAATAACAAAAAAAAAAAAAAACATCATCCAGCTTCAAACTTTCCAAACGCAGCATTCGTCCACTAACTAGTGATAATATCAGGGTTGAGTCTCACAGTACCAGCTCTGCATGGATCCCTGTAACCGATGGCATCCTCTGGCTGAGGGAAAGGCGCGCCATCAGAGACGCAAAGAGCGCTCAGCAGGAACAGGATGGCTGCTGCCGCAGAATCCATCCTCACTTCTTATTAACTGGAAACCGACGCCGCTGCCGCTGCTGCTGACAGATGATTATTGTTGGAAGATTGAAAAAAAGACGAAATAATGATGATAATAAAAAAAAAAAACGCAGGTGATGAGAGTTCCTTTAAAGCGACACTGGGTTAGAAACACGCGCCTCCCAGCTGCTGCCGCTCCAGCAGTAAATCTAGGCTATATCGTTTCTAAATAAACGTTAAACGTCACTTATTGTAGTCATAGCTCAGGTTCCGAGTGTGCGAAAAAAAAAGAGCCCACATCCAATATTATAAATTTAAATTAATAATCCAAATATCTGTTGAAACGCATCAAATATGAATTGTTCCGATCTCCAAAGTCAGTGTAAGCAGATAGATTTTTAGTCTTTATTATACTTACAACACCTGCAGCTTGCCAGCAGGGTCCATTATGGGAACATCTGGAAATCCTGACGCACCCATTATTGGGGTTGGCTCACACCAGTACGCCCTCTTGAACTGTTTCACAAACCAGATCGAGTTTTACTGGAATAGTGTGTAATAGATACATGGATAATTGTGTCATTTAGTGTTTGTCTCCTCCTGCTTTGTTTAAAATCTCCCTGAATGAATTTTGTCCAAAGGCTCTTTGCCAAATTGTTCAGTCAGGTTGGATCAGGAATGTCAGTGATGCTGCTTTTAAGTTCATAATGGATTACATTTAATTAGATTTCTGCATGTTTGCTGTGTCGCCTACATGGCTTCAGCACCTATCCTGTCAGCAGACGCCTCACAGAAGAGGATTTTTTTATATCTCTGGAAATCACTCTATGTTGATTTTGGATCATTATCCTAATGATCGGGCCTAAAGACGATCAAGTTCCTTTTGTTTTTCTTTCCCAGATCCAAGACACTATTGTTCTAAAATGTGCTGCTGTTTCATGATGACTTGCAGTCTAACAAGGTTCCCAGGACCTTTGGAAGTCATCCGGATACAGCATCACAGCTCCACCATACTCAATGGGTAGGATGAGATATTTTCCCAGTTATTCATGCTTTACTTCATATCACACCCTTCTGAATTGTTTGCTGCCAAAACACTAAATCATATTGTCTTCTCTTCCAGTTAAAGTACAGTTGCAGGTAAAAAAGAAATCCCTGTACAATTCAGCAATACACTTTTGTATTTGTTGGAGAGAAAAGGCTTCTTTGTCTACCAAACTAGTTTACATGCAGATATGCACCTCTTTTTCAGGTTCCACACAGACATAAGTTTGAACTCCTCCTTTTAATCCACTATGTAATGGAAATTGATTCCCATTGCTGTTACTATTAGCCTACTGTCCAAATGCATGTTTTTACCACTATGTGGTGCTGATGGATAAGGTTAAAAATCACCTCCTAAAGAAGTGAAAAAACAAGGGAACCCTTTATTAAAAAAGACATTTATTCATGATAAGGCTGAATAAATAGTAAGTACTCTATAATTAAATGTGGTTAGTGTTTTTTTTTTTTTTTTTCTACAAACATGGTGAAAAATGGAAGAAAGAGGGAGCCATATACTTAGTCCCAGTGTTTTCCATCCTCATCTGCCAGGATACATCTGCTACCAAAGAGATGGGATTCTAATTCAGTGGAGAATTTGATGCTTTAGAGATCAGTCTTCACAGGATGGCTGTGCACATTAGAGCACTTTAAAGGAGGAATATTTCACCTGAAGAATCTTTGCATTTACTTAATCTCAACCTAAGCCTGCCTTAAACTTGAAATGATGTCCCATTCCTGGTTTGGACAAGTCCTGATTTGTGTGGAAGTGAGCATACTGGTGGCAGTCCTGGTGGTCGGCGGCATGGCACAGATTTATGATAGATGGGAAGAAGGGTCATCCTGCTATGGAGGATTTGATCTTTACTTTGTTCTAGACAAGTAAGTGCTTCTGCAATTGCATAATCACAGGAGAGGTTCCTCAGAGTTTGGTGCATGAATCATTACAATTTGTTTTGATGTCAGCAGCAACATTTTCGGCAGATGCTATACTAAGCTGCAGCCTCTATTTTTAGTTGGCAAGGTGGTTAATGATTTTTACATAGTTTAAGCTCGAGAAGACATAAATAAAAAGCATACTTATACATTCAATAAGTAAACAGTGTAAACAATCCTTATACAAGCTGTGTTTGTTTGGACCTTATTTTGGTGACATAACAGGTGGTTCTGTGGAAATTGCTGGGAGGGGGGTTTGGGAATGCAGGCAATTAACCAGGTACATATCTATGACTAAGATGCTGGGAACTACCGGGTTCCTATGTGTAACTATCAGAATTTACTATTTTCTTTTCATGGGTTCAATCAAGTATTTTCGTACAATTACAGTCTGAAATCAACAATGTTCTTCTCTGCATGTTTCATATGGTAACTGGTAAGTTTTGAAAAGTAACCCTTAAGTTCTAGAAACATGTCTTAAGTTACAGACTAGAGACAAGTACATTCTAGTAAAGTAACTAGTTTCCGCCATTCAGATAAACTGCATAAAATGTATATTTAAGGAAGCCCAGCAACATAACTTAAAAGTTCTTGATGATAACTTATATGAAATTTACTGGCAAGAAACCAGTACATTTCATGAGAATTACCTAAAAGGATGCTGCGACTTTCAAAAAGTAACCCCTAAAAAAGGAAAGGGTCTAGGAAACATCTTTAAAGTTTTTAAAAGTAACACCTGAACTCTGGGAAAATATTGCTGGGTTAGGTCGTAATACCAGCATTTTATTTTCAGATATTACTGGCATTTATTTGTAACAGATGTTTTTACCCCCTGTTGTTTCGAGTATATTTTATCTATTATCTTTATCAATAGCAGTAATACTAGAAAATCTTGTATGTGCATTATAAAAAAATATTGGATTTGTCAAAGACAGTTAATGAATCTCTGCAACTAATTAGCCTGTTGCTTCTATTTATTTATCTTTGTTCTTTGTCAAGTAAAATTGAAGCTTGATCATAATGATGAAATGATATATTAAACATTCTAATGGAATGAAAAGTACAACAAAGATGAATGAAGTTGATTACTTGCCTAAAAGACCTTTTAATATTTCATTGACGAACTAAACTGGAAACTTAATTCTTACAGATGCTGCCAAATTAAAATCAGATCCTGCTGCAGTTTCTGTTTTCCTTCAAAACAAAAAAACATGAGAGGATTAGGCAGGTTTTTACACACAGATTGAGATTATCCAGGTACTTATATGTTCCATGTTGTAGATTAAACATCTCTGGATTTAACAAAGAAAGCATTTTCTGTTTTAGAAAATGAAATGTAATGCAGGGGCTCTAGTCGTACTTTGCTGACTGGAGCAGCAGCAGAGCTCTGTGTGCTGGGCAGCAGAACCCTTGCACCATTAGAGCCAGATGTTCCAAAGATCCCTGGTTTTTTGGCGACGTCCCTCCACTCAGGCTCACATCCCTGGATAACTGAAAACATAAGGACAAGAGGCTGCACGGTGTTAGAGTCTGCTTGAGCTCCAAATTTCCACTTCATTGCTGACGTCAATCTAAAGTCCTACATTTATTTTACTAATTTGTTTTCTTTTCTGCACCTGCTCCACCAACAAGAACTGAAATCTTAAGATAATTCAGTTTAATTTTGCAATTTGTTATGATAGAAAAAAAAATACAGTTTAACAGATTATGGCAACATTTCTTTTCAGTTTGCAAACAAAACAGAAACTTTGTTGAGCTCATTAGAAGTCCATACAAGGATCTTGCTGTTTTATTGGAAGAATAAGAAAAGAGTAAATGTTTTTTGTTTTGGGAGAGATCGGTTAATTATGACCACCTTGCAGCTCCGGTTTAAACCAGAGGGGGAGAAAGCTTTCTATTTTTTTCTTTTTTGTAAACCCAATTTGACCATAAGTGACAAACTGGCTATCATGCAGAGGTTTGCTTTCATTTTTGCAATTAAATCTATGTAAAAATACCAAAAAGTACGACTTATAAAAATAATAATTTAGCAACCAGTTGAATCCCCAAAAATCTGTTAGTGTAACGCATGAAACTTGCACATTAGAAAATTATTCAAAGTGAGCCACATGATTGTGGCTCACTTTGAATTGTTTGCTGTAGAACCAGTTAATTAACAAACTATGAAGTATTCATATACTTAACCATTGCACATGCATGCATTCCCCTGAATAGTACTTTTATTACTCACCAACATTCTTAAAAAAAATTCACATCATCATTCCGTGCTATTCTTTTAATTAGTTATCAGTTTGAAAAATTCAAATAATAATAATTGAACTTTATTGATCTGACATTGGAGAAATTTACCTCTGCGTTGAACCCATCCCCTTGGGGAGAAGTGGGATGCCATTATGCAGCACCCGGGGGTTAAGGATCTTGCTCAGGAACCCAGAGTGGAAGCAGTGGGATTCAAACTGGGTACTTGCAATCTTCTTAGAGCAGTACTCTAACCCACTGGGTCAACACCCCCTCTGCCCCCCCAATCTGCTCTCTAGTTCCTCCATTCCACAGAGAAGCTTTTGCAAAACTCAGCAATGATCTCCTCATGGCAACACAAACTAAACTCTCAGGATTTCCCACATACTCTGTCCTACTCCATCTTCTATTTATCATTTCCACCTAGCTCAGATTTTCCATTAACACTGTACATGTATTCATTTAACCTGCTATAAACATGACACATTTTATACTTCCCCTTTTTGCAAACCCAATTCCACTCCCTGAAAATTTTAGCTTTCAATGAAAACAGATATTCTCTATTTTGATTCATATTTTTTTTAGCCAAGTTGGACAGTTTCTGTCTCTTGAATAATAACTCCCATGTTTGTCCATTCTTTCTGCCTATGGATTATGGTATCATCCTTAACTGCCTAGTATCATTTCACTCACAAAAATAGCACCCATCTGAATCTGAATTCCTATCAATGTTAATATTCTTTGATACCATTCTTACACACAATGGATACACTCTTTACTAAATTTTCCCTTCTTTTCAGTTTTCTGAAAAAACATGACCCAGCCCTCAATCAGTCCACAGCTCAGCTGCCATAATCATCTCATCAACCAATCACATTATTCCTCTCATGCTGCAACTTTGAATTTCCAAGATCATTTATAACCTTATTTCTCCATACCTCAGTAAAATGCTGCCGATTAGTCTCTTAGCCAACACTTAGCCAAAGATTAATCCATCTGTTAGGTTCTCTGTGAGGCATCTGAATAGGATTGCTCTCCATATCTTAAAAAAACAAACAAATAAACATGAAATTCTGTTCATCTTTTAGCTGGTTGCTTTAAGCCTGTCACTTCTTTTTAGATCTATTTTTTTTATGTTCCTAATTTTTAACCCTAAAGTTATTCAATGATAAACTACTTGAGATCTAACGGTTTACACCGCACTGCATGTTATGTTTTTTATTTTTTTTATTTTATTCATCTTCCTTCATTTTTGCAAATATTCAAAGTGGACACAATATTTAATGAAAACTGCCATCAGAATCAAACAGCCATCAAACTGCATCATATCCAATTAGTATATTGTAAATTTTTATGCCTCAGTCAACCTGTTATGATATTTGCAATATATACATTAAATAAATTAGCCTATCAAATACAAAACATTACATAAACAGCATAAGAAATGCTCCAGTAGCTTGTTTCATTTTTAACTGCGTTTTGCTCCATGTATGTCTCAGGTCTGGCAGTGTGCAGCACTACTGGAATGAGATCTATTATTTTGTGGATCATCTCGCCCACAAGTTCATCAGGTTTGTGTAAACGTAAAAAAAATAGTAAAAGTAAAATATTATAATGGGTCGCAAATTAAAAATATTCCTCATTCCTGTAGTCCTCAGCTCCGGATGTCTTTTATAGTATTTTCCACTGATGGACGGATCCTGATGCCGCTAACAGAGGACAGGTGAACCTTACAATGACACTCTGCATGAACTTTCTGGTTTCTGATGTATGTTTCCATTGTTTGTTGAGTTGTTTTGTATTGTTTTCTGATCAGAGATAAGATTCGAGCCGGACTAGAAGAGCTGCGTTTGGTGCAGCCGGGTGGAGACACTTTTTTGGACAGAGGCCTTCATAGAGTAAATTGGTTGCTAAGAATCAATGGGAAAAAAAAAAATCAACTCACACACTAAAACATCTAAATTAATACATTTTCCTTTCAGGCCAGTGAGCAAATATACCATGGTGCTGGATATGGTGAGCATTCTTTAAAATTTATATTTTTTCTCATTCAAGCCTCACTGAGAAACAGCTGCCCTTTGTATCGTTTCCTCTGCTTAAAGCAACACTTTTGTTCAATTTCACAGCTGATCCTTTTAATTTTTACTGCTTCAGGCTACCGGACAGCAAGTGTCATTATCGCCTTGACAGATGGAGAGTTGAGAGAGAATCAGTTCGACGTGGCGCAGAGAGAGGTCAGAGAGATCAGAAGGATTTTTTTCCCTTTCATTTTGCCAAATAAGTCTTTAATGTCTTTTTTATCCATTAGGCTGACAGGGCACGGCAACTTGGTGCCACTGTGTACTGTGTGGGGGTGAAAGATTTCAACGAAACACAGGTGACATCAACTGGTCAGTAAATCAATGTACCTACTAATTGTTGAAACAAACTGTGAGTTTAATTATTAGCTTCTTTATCTGACAGCTTTCCACCATAGCTGATAGCAAGGACCATGTCTTCCCTGTGAATGATGGATTTCAAGCTCTGCAAGGAGTCATTGACTCGGTATGAGACACACAGATAAGCCCAGATCTATACATAAATGTATAATTCATTCCTCGTTATGTGATGAATTTCTCCCATAGATCTTGAAAAGATCCTGCATTGAGATCCTGGCTGTAGAGCCCTCCAGTATCTGTGAAGGAGGTGAGAAAATACAAGTTATCGATTGCATAACTCAAATATGTTTGCAGCGGAAAGTTGTTTTTTTTTTTATTTCCTGTAAGAAAGATATCTCTAATATGTAATGTTTCTTCAGAAAGCTTCCAGGTGTCTGTTAGAGGAAATGGTTTCCTTCATGCCAGAGATGTGCAGAAAGTGCTTTGCAGCTTCCGGATCAATGACACACTCACTCTCAGTAAGTGATGCACTTATTTAGGATTATTACACAGAAATATTTAGAAATATTAATATTATTGTATATGCAACCTAATGAATTTAGAAGTAAAAACAATGACAGAAAAAAAGACAGAAATTTTCCTGCAGTAACTATATAGGGCTTTTGAAAAGTATGACTTTTTGGTATTTCATTTCTTCTAAATTAAGATCTTTTTAAGTGCTTTTAATCTGTTCTTGTTGAATATTTTCTTTATAAAATAGCATATAATGGTGTTTTTTGTGAGGACAGTTCTAGTTACAGAGCCGAATTCATACTCTTTTGACTTTTGCAGATACAAACGATGCATTGTATTTGGATTTTCTGTGAGACCATACACAATCCTGAAGTCCCTAGTTGTTTTTAAGCCTGGGCTTTGACTAGACCATTTTAGGACATTGAGGGGCTTTTATCTAAGCCAGTGATTCTAATTCCTGGTCCTCTGCATCCACTGCTCTGCAGAATTTAACTTCTGCAGCATTCCATAGCCTACTGAGGGGGGGATGCAACCATTTTAAATAGGTGTGCAGAGGTGAAGGCACATCTAAAATGTAATCTAGACTAACACCCACCCAAACCAGTCCATTATATCCCTGTTTCAATGTTTAGGGTGGAAGTCCAGCTGGAAGTTGAATCCAGCTGCAGTATAATGTTTCTTAAAGCATCTAAATTGTGTTTTGTCCAGATTACCCTACCCTACCTCTATCCACCTTTCCATAAACTCTGATTAACTACTCTATACCAAAAGATACAGAGTATCTTTTGATTTCAAAATGCTGCAGAATGCCTTTTAACTTGCTCATGCAAGTATGAGCACATCTCCCACATTTTAGCCTCACTTTACTGCCTGCCCAAACATTTTAGAATTTAATTCTAAAATTATTTTATTTGGTTTTAAATCCCTACGTAAATAGGTTTTACCAACTATACCTCTCTGAGCTTCTACATCCTTATAGACCTACTTGCTGTTCAGCTGCCCCTAGATTTAAGCGGAAGCTCAGAGGGGGGGACGCTTTTTTTCTGCTGCAGCTCCAAAGCTCTGGAACGACCTGCCTCTGTACATCAGACTTCTCTGACTGTTTTTAAATCTCTTGTCAAAATCCCACCTTTTCTCTTTGGCTTTTAACACCTAGCAAGACAGCAGACTTTATTTATATATTTTTTAAATCTTTTATTCCTTTTATCTTTTACCCAGTTTTATTGATTTGATTGTGTGAATCTTATTTTTACCCATGTTTTAGCTTCTTTGTTTTTTATCTGTACAGTTTTATGATTTGTGGCATTTAGGTTTTTCTTTACAGCACTTTGGTTAGCTGTGGTTGTTTTTAAGTGCTTAACAAATAAAATTGGATTGGATTTGATTGGAAAAGATACCCCCAAAAAAGAGTGTCCCCGCAGAATAATGCTTCCACCACCATCTCTCGACCTGGGAATAGTGTGCAGGGGGAAATTTCTGTCACGTTTTAGCAAAGAATACTTTTTTTTTTCCCATTTAAGCCAAAATTTTTATTTTCTGGTCCCTCTGACCAGAGCACCTGTCCACTTGTGAGAAACAGCAGAATTTCTTTCAACAATTTAACAAATTGATTTTATTACAAATATGTAGCCCTCTTTACCACTTTTTGCAATGATTAGTCCTATTTATTGTTGTTTTTTTAAATTTAAACAATATTGTGATATTATTTGTTAAAACAAAGATGGGTTTTTCACACATTTCTACATGCAACTATTGTCTTGTTATTGTATTAACTTCTAAGGATGAGGTATCATAATGGAAAGAAGAACTAAATCCTTTTTACCCACGAGTGAAAACAATACTAAGTCCTCATTACATAACAAGCACTAAGCTGCCCTTGACGTAACAGTGTTGGACATTTTTTCGACTGTCAGCATATGGATGGGTGGGAGCCAGAAAACTTTGGTGGGCTGCTGTGACATGAGCCTGCTCCCTCTGTAGTCACCATCAGTCCCCGTCTTTCTTTGCTGTGAACTGGATGGTAAAACACTCAGGACTTCTCAGATGTCTGCAGGGGAATGTGGAGCTCATCAGCAAACAGAGCTCTTTGCACACAGTAGACACTCACACAGCCAGGATAAATAAACCACAAACCCTCCTTCATTTGCTTCAGTTTCCATCAGAACAGGAAGTCCCGGAATTTAATAACATAAAAAAAATTTTTTTTAAAGGCTTGAAGCTTCTAATTTTTCACCTCAAGAGAAATATGAAGTAATTTTTTCCTCTACATCACAGATTCATCATGTGCTTTTTTTCTCTTCGGGTTTATAAGCTTAGATAAAAGCATTTTTATTTTCTTCTGTTTCTACAGTGAAAAGACCTTTGGTGGTTAGAGATACTTATCTTTTGTGCCCAGCTCCAGTTCTGGAAGAATTTGGAACGTAAGTTGTTACTCTGTTCACAAGAACATTTTATGAAAAGCACTTAATGAAACAATGAGTTGACAGACCAATGTCTAGTAACTTGTAAAAACGAGAAAATTATGTTCATGTTTTTGTTCCTAACTGCTCATGAGAGATTGCTGCAGAATTAATGAACACATGAAATCGAATGACTCGTCTTTACCTGCTCACTAAAGAGGGGAGATTGCTGTAAAGTCAATGTCTCATCTGAGCTTTGTTTAGATAAAATATCTTCTACCAATGAACTAGAATGTATTTTATTTCTGGTATTAAAATGAAATATGTGTAAAGCTGAATGTGTACGTATTATTAGACTGACTAAACTACATTTTAATGTATATAAATTGGTTAAAAAGTGCCTTTGAAAAAAATGTATGTGAATTGGCACTTTGTATAAATAAACTGAATTGATTTCAATTATGGATTTTATTTTTAGGATTAAAGATTTAACTTTGAAATTGAAGACAAGAAATTCTATCCATAAAAGTTGATATGTTTCCATGACACCTCAGGTTTTCTATATTTGTGGAAACCTTACAGTCAGATTAAAGGACAGACTTGGAGATGTTCTGGCGTTATCGTTTGTTAACTTGCTAAATAAGAAGGATGTCCTGAAAATGGCCCTTTGAGGAAGCTGAGTTTTTTTAAGGATATTATTGAGTCAAACCTCCAGTTGAACAGTTTATTCAAAGGAAACTAGCTGCAGAAAAAGAACACAATGCAATTTAATGCTTTTGATCTGCATTAGTATTGTGATTGTTACCCCCTGGACTCCCTCACAAAAACTGTCCTGGACTCTGCTGTCGCTCCTGAAAATTCTTTACAGTGAAATATTGTGCATTAGTTAAATTAGGCAGTTTTTTTCTTTGTAATAGGTAGACTAGGTTAGGAAAGTTACAATGATGTTCACCATCTAAGGCCATATTATTAGTTTTTTACAATATTGCCTGTTGACAGTTTTTGGAATCTGGAAGTTAGCACTTGGATGTTTTCTTTGTTTTTTTATAAATCATTGATCATTTGTGCTCTTACATTATAGTGCTGTACTGGTTAAATGTTTGCATTTAAAACTAACAGAAAAAAATGGTTCTACTGCATCATAAAATGGGTCATTTGCATCAAAAGTTGAAATATTTTTTCAAAAGAGAGTCGGCATCTCTCTGTATAACTATCAAAAGCACAATACAGGTCAGACACAGAGATTTGCAGCAGCCAATACATTCGAATTTACTGTGAAAAATACATATTAGCTAAACAAACAAAATAATCTAAAATTATATATGAATGTGAACAATATATAAAATCATTTTGCAAGCTAAACACACACAGGTCAGGATTAGAGCAAGATTTTAAAATTAAAGTGCAGTTGATATTGTCAGGGGCAATAGATTGAAAAACTGAGAGTTTAAATTAGTTAATTTTTTATTTATAATGTAGGTATTACATCAGGATAACACACTGTTAACCGGATTGGTATCAGGAACAAAAACAGTAGATGCAGATCATTGGATATTCCAAGAAATCTGTTGATTTGTTTTGGATTTAAGAATAGAGATGCTCAGAACGATTTCATTTATTGTCATTTTTCAGATCAGCCACTCTCCATGTTAGCATGAACAATGGCCTCAGCTTTATATCCAGCTCTGTCACCATTACTGCCATCACTTGTGTGAGTATGAGAGGAAAAACACACGTTCAGCTCATTGTGTTTTGACAGAAAGAGGATTTGGCCCTATTGTCTCTGATGTTTCTTATTCCTTTATTCTTGTTTAGAATTGTCTGTTCCATAACCTTCATCAATGATTGGAAAGCTGTATCAATTTCAATAAAACTGTTAATTATTAAAAAGCATTGCATTGTAAAAATAATCTAATCTTTCTTGCAGTCTGATGGGACCTTTGTGGGGATTGCATTGCTCATCCTTCTGCTCTTGTTAACCATGGCTCTGCTGTGGTGGTTCTGGCCTCTCTGCTGCACTGTGGTATGAAAAGATATTGACATTAACCAATATGCTACCTCTGAATGTGCTTTTGCTCTTGAGAACAACATAAATTATGTTCTACCTGTTAAAACTAGGAGACAACAGTAACATACTCACATTATTTTTAAATATAATTGCAGGTCATTCATGAGGCACCTCCACCAGTAATAGAAGACGTCTCTGTAGGTTATTTTTGTAAATTTTATTTACACATTTAAATTCCATGTTTGTTAATTTCAAGCAAAACGTTTGCTTCAACTAATGTTTAGGATGATGAAGATGGTTTCCCAAAGAAGAGGTGGCCCACTGTGGATGCATCGTACTACGGTGGCCGTGGAGTCGGAGGAATCAAGAGGATGGAGGTAATTCAAACTGCAAAAAAAACAACAAACAAACTTAAAATTAACACAGAGAAACCAATTCTCAGTTCTTTGCTGATTTGCTCTTTCGGTGTATAGCACCTCCAAGGGTCACTATAGTATGATAAAGTTCTGTGGACCAAGATCAGAAACCTAGACTCGATTAAGAGGAGTAGGATAAAACTTAAGATAAATAAGAGACACAGACCAGAGAGTAAAGTTTAAATGCCGGCTTGTTATTGAACATATGGACAAAAGACAATGACTTACATTTAACATTTATTGTGGAATAAATCCCTTTTTGTATTAAACCTTCTTAGTTTAATTTTAGGATATTTAATTCCTTTGGGTCCTATCAATATAGGTTGCAACCTTTAGCTATTTTAATCTTCAGTTCAAGGTAGTTCAAGGTATTTCTCTATTTAACTCTTTTATTAATGAGTTTAGTTCTATTTATCTCAACTCTTTTAGTTTAGTATAGGTATCATTGAATTTAGACAAAATGTTGTTTTAGCATTTGGAACCAAACAATGAATAAAGAAAATAAAATACAGTCAAACTGTTACAAAACTCAAAATATTCAGCAAAAGACTGAACAAGTCTGTATTCCACAGAATAAAGTCTCTTCCTTCCGATTCTGCTTGTTTTTCTTTCTCTGAATTATCAGTCCAATGTTATCCACCTGGATCCACTAGTTTGGTGGAAGGTGAAAAGATCCTACCAGTTCAGATGTAAACCATGAAACATCCAGCAGGGGGTGCAATCCTGGCTCATGCACAGTTCACACTGTGTCCATAGGGTGGCTCGCCATCTTGAATCTTCCAATTTCCAAATCCAGTGTCTAATCAACAATCCTTCATCCCAACCTAAGTTGGCCAAGTCCCGTTTAATCCAGTACACAAACCATCAATACAGAGTCCGGTTGCTTTGCAAAACACCAGTAGCTCAAAACCGGAAAACAAAAAAAATATCTTCTCTGGAGTGAAAATAAAAATACCTTCGTTGGAGTTAAAAACAAAAATATCTTCTTTGGAGTACCAAAATGTACTTTTCAGGTTTAGACTCAATTTCTCCACTTGCTTCTCTGCAAATTTTAATGCAGCACTTTGCGTGTGTCTCACCAACATGGGGAATTCCCGCAACGATCTGATTGGATGCAAGTTGCTGCAGAGGCTTTAGAACAAAATGCCCTTCCTAATAGAAATCTACATGGGTTTCAACCATTTAATAATGTAAATAATTATTTTGGATGTTTGTTTGTTTTGTTTTTTAATCAAATAATATACAGTAAAATGAAATAAAACTTTTTAGATATTTTTAGATATATTTTACCATATGAACTAATTTATTGACTTTTTATCTTAAGCATTTATTGTTGTTTTTATTAACACTTTGGTGGCTCTGTTAACCTCTGGGTTACAGGTGCATAAGCAGTCATAAGTCTATGCTTCAGTGAGTTTGTTTGATTAAGACTTTTGTATGGCGAATCTGATTTAGTGCAATTTTAGTATCCAGTTATGTCTTGTGTCTTTGAGTGATTCAGGCAGACCATACACAGAGCTGTGCACAAGGTCAACGGTGCTCACTCATGCTTGCACAAATTCAAACATGCAGATTTGCATATGTGCAATTATTTAAGAGGGCCCTGAGTGTTTCTGACTTAAATTTCTGTAAAAAAAAATCATCCTCTATTTCTTTAATTTAAAAAAATCACCTACTAAGATTAAGATTGTCTGATAATAACGTTTGGAAAACTTGAAATGTGAAATCCTCTTTTTTTAAATCTGAAAAGCTTCCTTGCTAAGAGAGGTTTTTACACATGAGGATTTTTTTTTGTTTGTTTTGATGAGGTGATACACATAAAAAAGAAAACATACAGTTAACAGAAAAAATACAGGAATAAAAACTGTTTGAAACAAATGTGTCGCTAACACAAACCAACTTATACCAACTATAATAATGTACATAAATAACCAGGCTCATAACGGTAAACTATAGGGCTGCAACTAACGATTAGTTTGCAAATCGAGGAATCTGTTTTTTCGATTAACCAATTGATAATCGGATAGCAAAAAGTTCCTTAAAGAAGACTTTTTACAAAATCAAATGAAATTACATGGCATATATATATTTATTTATAAGCACTGTATATTCATTTAACCTATTTTCCTGTTTTCTTGTTTTTCAATTAGTAAACTGGATATCCCCCTATCTGTTTATTATCTGCCAGCACGCGTTTTTCTTCTAGGAAAGCACCAGATACAAATCTAACAACTAGAGCCAGGCAGCTGAACAGAATTACTACTCACAAGACTGAATTATCCTGAAAGTGGGGAAAGGAGGACATATAAAGTGGAAACAACCCAAAAAGACTCAAAGAAAATAAAAAGTTAAAAAAAAACACCCTGTGAAAAGACTTAAACCTTGTTTTTGTGGTGGTTAACGCTGTGCATATGCTTACAATAGAGAAATAAAATCCAAACTGGTTTCAGGTTCACAGATGAAACACGTGGCAATCTTTACTGCGGCCCTCAGCATGCAAAAAGCAAATGATGAAAGGTGGAATGAGATCAAACAGGAGAACAATAAAGCGGGTCAGGAGCTGCTGCCTTAATAGAGTTGAGCACGCAAGTCCACGCTGCATGAATCAGAGTCACTTTGTTGCTGTGACCAGCTCAGGCAGCCAGACAGAGGGAAGCTGGGGCCATCTGGATAATCAACATGACTGAAATGCTTGGTTGATAAAGGAACTCAGCTGAGATACTGTGATTTATTTGTTGTTGTTGCACAGGAGAAGATACATTTCTATTCTGAATGTTGGAGAATGAGCTGTGGAAAAAAACACTGACTAAAGAAACTCAGCCTGCCTTTAATGGGTCTGATAAATCATGTTGAAACAGGATTATGTCGGCCTCCTTCGGGACCATGTACTTAAAGAAAAAGACGCTCTTCACTCAGGAAAGCAAAGCTCTGCAGACTGGCAGTGCAGTCTGAGGAGTCACTCAACTCCAAACACTGAAATGGAAAGTATGCATGGCTTCATTTATGTGTTCTTTCTGCCAAGTCAAGGCATTCGTGGCTTTTGTGTGTTAGACGAAAGGGAGTGAATTTGCCCTAATGAACTTCCAAGACTTTGTTGACTGTGCTGGTTTAGCGTGTTAAATTCTGACTCACTGCTTATATCTCAGCCTTGTTTTTACTGGTTTGCTTTGCATTATGGTAAAGACAAGACTACACAGACTCGCAGGATTTCCGGCAACATAACATATTTCTGTTAAGTTACTTTTTATCAACTTTACTAATTCACTGCAGCCCCAAACTAACATTTTTCAGAAGATGGGAAAGTCTTAAATTTGAAAAGTTTTTACAGAAATTCAGGAAAAAACAGGCTGCCTGCCTTTCCCCTGACTTAGGAATTTTAGCAGCCTAGGTTTAATTAAACCTTGCAGGACTCAAATGTTTATATAAAACATGATAAAAGAAAACAGTTGTTTTATGCAAGTGCATCAGTTGAATTAGAGCAGCAGTCTTCTAACTCTGGCCTCAGGACCCACTGTCCTGCATGTTTCAGGTATGATTTAAATGGGTGATTAGCAGGCCCTTGCAGCTTGTACTGGCTGCTGAGGAGGAAGTGCAATCATTTGATGCAGGTGTGCTGGAGCAGATACACATCTAAAGCATGCAGGACAGTGGGTCCTGAGGACCGAGTTTGAAAACCAATGAATTAGAGGACATCCCTAACCCCCTCCCCTTGTAATGATCTCATTAAACATCTAAAGTTAATTACTTGTTGTCCTCTCAGACCCTATAATTGATTTCCTGGTTCATCCTCTGAGCCTCCTCCCAGTGGGACCTGCTTAGAAACACCTCTAGAGGGAGGCTTCCAGAAGGCATCTGAAAAGATGTCTGAGCCACCTGAGCTGACTCAAAATGGAGGAGAATTGAATCCACTCCAGACCTCTTCTGGATGACTGAGCTCCTCACCCTGTTTCTAAGGGAGTGCCCAGCCACCCTATGCTGTCAGGGTTTTCAGGAGGACCAATAACGTGGAGGCAGAGACGGTTTCTTGTAGATGTATTAATGATGGCATTATCATAGATAATCCAGTAAAGAGAAACTGCAGGGGAGCAGTATGTATATAGTGGGGATGAGAATACTGAACAGGTGTGGCGATAATTGCTTGACTGGGAGCAGGTGTGGCCAGAAAAGGCTGGAAGGGAACTGAAGGAAAAAAAGAGTCGCACTAGGGGGCAACGGTAAGCAATGAGGCAATACAAAAAGACTTTAATTTAACCTAGGAAGGACTGAAATGACACAAAAAGGAAATGGAACTAAGGCTGTGTCCGAACGTCCGCCCTTATAACTATATAGGCCACTATATGGTCATAACGCCATTTTAAATCCAAATTTCTAGTAGATGAAAAAGTAGTGGACTCGAAATCTCCCACAAGGCACCTTGAAAAGTAGTGATCATCTATGGTCACTAAACGAGCAGATATATCCTTGAATGTTTTGCGAAAGCTCTCCTTGCAAAGCATCATGGTATTTGTTGTGACAGCCGTTCACTGTGGCTATGCAAATAACAAAGATGGCACATGCACTGAGCGGGGAGGTGGAGTTACGGGAGTAATGGGAAGCAAAAGTAGTGATCATCCGTCAGAACAATCATTAAACTGAGTTCACTATAAAGTCACTATATAGTTCCAGCTCTATGCAGTGACTGGGTGATTTAGGGGTTAGGGTGGACCTTTGGCGCCACAAGACTCTGTTTGGATACAGCGGCTGCTTCCTCCAAAGGCCAATTACATCATAGTGCGGCACCATAGCCTGTTCAAATTGGAAGACTCTGGTTGGAAGGAGTCCAAACAAGCCAAGAGCTGCTTAAGGGGAGAGTACCACTTATAGGTGGAGATGCTCAGAGGAAAAAGGGAAATGTCGCCAAACGGTGAATATTGTAAGTGCAGTTTAATATAATCAGGGTATATGAATAGTTCAATCTAAAATTAATGAAAATAGTAATGGTAAATTGTTACTGAGTCAGATGTGTGGCATGTAATGTTTGGTTTATTTAAAGGTTTTATCTGTCCCTGTGCAAATGGGTTTGGCGTACATTTAAGCACAGAATCTAATATTTCTGTAGTGTGAGGACTACAGCTCTGATATCTGTGATGATGGTACTGCTGCTGAAACTCCTCGAAAATGTCATTAGCACACAAAACAGTAGTGACAAGTTTGGCATCCATTCTTTGGTTGCTTTGTGAATCAACTGGCAGAGTTGCTAAGCGACATAGCTTACCCTGAGTGAGGGGCAGTGGACGCCGGAGAAGGCTGGACCTGTTAGAATCTACTGCTGAACTTCTTTTGCCGCTGAAATATAAGGATAGGGAAGGGACTGGAGAAATTGTGATAACTAATATGCAATGGGAAAACATAATCTAAAGATAACAGAAAGCCATAAACATGAAAAACTACAGCAAAAATTAAAATAACACCAGGAATGCTAAAAGAGATAATTAAGATATACACCTGTGAAGAGTTAAACTAAGAAGTAATTCAAACATGATTTAAATCTTAACAGTAAACACAGAATAACAAAAATCAAAAAAATTACTGAAAATATTTAAATTGCTACTGTAATTTTGTTCACAGCTCAGTGTTAATGTACTCACAACTGAAAAATCAATTAACATTCCACATGAGAGGGTCGCTGTTGCCACCCTCTGTTTTAGAGTTAAACTGCCTGTTCTAAAGGTCCTGAAGCATGCTCCAATGGTTAAAATAAATCAGCTGGCTGGGGCGGCTATAGGGCTGGCCACTGTTTGACCAGAGGTTAGCATGGCCCCCCTGGCCCCCATTCTAGCTGCGCCCCTGGCTGTGGACCTTAATCTCCTCCTGAGGCTCTGGGAGCTCGTTACACTTTCCTTAATCTTTATCAAGTTTGTCTATGATGTTGCATTTAAATGTAGCTAATTTCTGCTGCTTCTCATCATTTCAAACTCAGTGTAATTGCAGCCCAGGGCTGAAAATGTCTTCCTCTGTTTAGGTTCGTTGGGGAGATAAAGGCTCAACGGAAGAAGGAGCCAAACTGGAAAAAGCCAAAAATGCTCGCGTTGTGATGCCTGCTCAGGAATATGATCCGCCTCCACCACGGATTTACTACCACAGAAACAAAACCATCTCCACCCACAAGTGGTACTCTCCCATTAAGGTGCTCTTTCACTTTTTCTAACACAACATAATGAGTCATTCAACTAATTTATCTTTGTTTGCTTTCTTCCTTTGCCAAATGAATTTACTCTAAATAAAAAAATCCATTTTGATTGTGAATTAATCTTCCTAGCTTTTAAGCAGAGCATTGTTTTCCTTTTAGCCATCTGAAAAGATACTTTTGCTCAACAAAGTTTCATAAGCAATTGATTCAAAACTTAAAACTGAATATGTGACGCCTATTTGAGGAGGTCTGTAAGATTTTATATAAAGGCCAATTGTTACTGAGGAGCAGAAGTGAGAAAATGTTTTGGTTCAGTGTTTTGGATGATGTGTTACCAGGAAGTAGCTTATAAAATTCTGCTTCCTCAAATATTAGTCAGCTGGATGGATGGTTGTAATAAAAAACAGACATAGAGCTTACCCCTGGGAAAGGACTCAGAGCAGTGGGTGTTATTTTTAACTAATTGCATTCTTTGCTTATCTGTCTCTGTTTATCACATAAAGCCTTCCACACATCTGGAAACTAAAAAGCTAAAATAAACAACGGGATGCTTTTCTCTTTCTTTTCAGAGAGATGAACGTGTCGGTCTTTCAAAGCAGTAATGACATGCTGAAATAATTTCTGGCTTTTATCAGATTGGGTATAAATATACTACAGGGAAATATTTTAAAGCCACACCTAAAGTCTATATATTTTTGCTTCAAGACAGACAGGAATCCCTTTAATGTGGTTTTGATCAATTAAATTTAGGTTTAAGGGCCTTTAGGGAGGTCTTTCAATGATTTTGGTTTGGTTATTTTATGGCTGCTTTTATTTTCTTATTTGGCTTATTATTTTGTCCAACTATTTCTTCATTTTTAGAGGAACATTGCACAAATAGGAATATGGTTGCACTCTGTAAATGTGCACTATTTGTAATAGCTTGGCTATTTTTCATTGAATTTTTAAGAATTATATAGGAAGGATGACTATAGTCATAGTTCATAGTCAGACAGAAACAGTTAAATTCCCTGATAAGCTCTTCACCCCTTAGAGATACACAAATCTTCCAGTCGATGAAAAAAAACCATCAGTATTTGCTTAATGTTTTGGCAAAAATATCACCATTCTTCAATATTGCTTGCACATGTAAAAAAGACTTTCAGCTCTCCCTAAAACTTAACTCAAGGTTTAGACTAATTGATAAGAGAATGTTAAACAAATCAATCTGGTTAATAATGTGTGAATATTATTTGATTAAAGTCATTCGGATTTCAATTAAAGAGCACTTTTCATAACGTTAAATGCTTTTCAAGGTTAAAACCAAAGTAAAAAACATGCAACTGAGAATCAAAAATCACAAGAGAAAGTGTTAGGTAAATAAAAAATACAAATATTAAAAGTGTTCATCACTTTCACACAATCATATCTGTAATAAGGGGATGATACAGGCATATGCAAGCAGTGGCGAAACACTGAAGCTCAAAAATACAGGATTATCTTCTAAAACCACTTAAACCAAGAACAAATAAATAGGAATGAAATGTATTTTATAATTACATTAAAATATTATTTTAATGTAATTATAGAATGATTGTAGAAAATGTTAATTATAATACATAAATTGAACATATAACCTGATAAACAGATCAAATACATGAATAAACAAAAGAATGAAGGAAAAGAAGAAAAAAATGAATTAGGCTGTTTACAGGTGCGTACTACTTAAAGTATGACCGTTTTCTTTTAGGAGTCACTGTAGTTGTGTTAAACTTTTTAATGTTTATTTTGCCCAATTATTATTATTAGTATTTTCAGGGACTTCAGTAAATTAGTGGGAACAAAGCACGTCTTTCAAATAAATTTTAAGTTATGTATAAAACAACACAGCTTCATGTTTTGAGATTAATAGATATTTTATTGCTTTATAAATCATACTGTAGAAGATAAATATTCTTCCTTGCACCATTATAGAGGAAAAACTGTGTTACATAAAGCAGCAAAATATTTCCCTGATGATGACTTTCAGACAAAGCAGAATGATAATAAATATATTTTCCTGGATTATAGGAATATTTGTTTCTTTGAAGACGGAGATGAAACAAGAGAATTTATGAAGCTGTGAATGTGGCATCTTTTTTTAGGGGAAACTGGATGCTCTGGTTGTGTTGATGAGAAGAGGCTACGACAGAGTTTCTGTGATGCGACCTTATCCTGGAGACAAGGTGACCAACATTTTTCTTTTATTATTATTTCTTAAAAAGTGGTTTATAGTGTAACAAAAAAAAATTGGAGTCAATTTATATTCTATAGCAAAAAAGGAAAACACATAAATAGGTTAAGAGCTTGTGGTGAGAATTGGGTGACCTCATGGCATCAACATCCTTGAATCAAACGGAGAACTTCATAGGAGTTCTCAAGTGCCAGAGTGAGAAGACAAATGGAGTTATAGAGTGCATTATTGTCTGGAGGAACACGCCTGCAAAAGTCATTAGGCGACCAAATAGTCTGGCTTCTAAAGTTCACAGAGTTTGCAGGAGTTGGTTTTCCTTCATGTCACTCACTAAGATGAAGCATCTCCCTTGCAAATCTACCAGCAGCCTTGCAGCAGTCAATTAAGCAATTTGCGCCACGTTTGTTACTCCTATAAATCTGACTGCGTTTCCACCATTAGTTGAGTTACACGTTTCCAATTTACTTTATGTGCCTATGTTACAGGGTCGGTGCATCAACTTTACCCGGAGTCCATCTTACCCTCCTCCCCGCTACCCAATCTACAACCATCCCTCCACGCCTATCTACACATTACCCAACAGGTACCAGCGGCGTGCATCCGACGGCTGCCAGGACCTCTACCTGCCACCCTCGCCTACTTCCACACTGCCACCTCTGCCGTCGACTCCACCCCCGACCTCCAGCAGCTCCTCCATGTACACGCCTCCTCCGAACAGAGACCTGCCCCAGACCAACGCCAGACCGATCACTCCACCTCCATCCCCAACAGGCTCCCTGCCACCTCCACCCCAGGGGCAGCCTCCTTGTAGAGCTCCTCCACCCTCACGCCCCCCTCCTCGGCCCAATCATGAGATCAACTGAAGATGTTAGCTCCAAAAACTTTACCTGTGGGACCTTTTCGCTATAACTGAAATTCTGATCGACCACAATAAGAATAGAAGTGACTTTTCACAAGAGCTGCAAACAGTTTAACCTGAAATACAATATTTTGTTCACAAGTCTCATCTTGAACACCAGTGTAAATAATGCAAGTTTTTCATATTTTACTGTCTTTGCATACAACAATGTACTCCATGAAACAGATGGTCATTCACCATTCCTGAGTTTTACTTAATGTAAATTAAACATGTTAAAGCAGCTAGAGCTTTTGGTGCTGCATAAAGGAAAATAAGACAATATTTGGAACTTAATTTTCTTGAGTTGAGGTTTGTGCCTCACAACAGTGATCTTAATTTCTATGCCAATAAGAGAAAAAGAAGCACTGAAAAAATGAAATGGGAACATGGCAACCATAAGTTATAGATAAGTTACAGAAGAGCTAAAACTAAGTGCATACCAAAGTTCCTCTAAAGAAGAAAATAATGATGGTTAAGTCTCTGACTTCAATAGAGTTCATTAGATTAATATTCATGTGGTGACGTCTCCAGGGAAAAGGTAACCTGGTATAAGACAGATTGATTCATATAGTTCAATTTCAACTTTACACAATATCCATCTGGAAAGTGTTCCACAAAGGGAGGAACACTCAGTCCAATTCTTCGAGCTGATTGGGTAAATCACCATCTGGCACCTGCCTCCCCTGTCGAGCTTTTAGCCAATCACAGCAGCAGTAATAGCTGTGACTTATCACATTCTTGATTTGTTTCAGAGTTAACTGATAAATCAAAGTTTTACCAAATCACACAAATATCTTCCTCATCCACAAAAGCAAAAGTCAAGTCCTTTTGCTTATTTTTTTCAATAGCAAATAGAGAGTATTCCGGCTAAAACAGAGACAGCCATGTTTGTTTTGCTTCAGCCTTCTTTTTCTGGTTGAACTCATGCACGCCACTGCATTTCATTGGTTCGAAACATTTCTTTATCTTCTAATACATCTACTTGCTTTTAGAAAGTTGTATTTTCAGGGGTTTTTGAATTTACAGATCTTGCAACAATTCATCTACTTGCAAGGAAAGCGGGAAGGATGGAGTCAGTAGAAATGTATTATGACAGCAATGACCTGGAGATCCATCAAACTGGCACCTTATGGTGGATAAAAAAAAAACTGTCTATAAGAACCTTGGTTAGTCTTTAATATTCACCCCATGGACAGGACACCCTCAGAAAATAGCAAAATTGGAATCATAGAAAAATGAAATTTTTGGCAGCATTTAGGTAGATACTGTAATCTCAATCTGAATTGCACAGACTTCAGCTGTTCAATTTCTCCCATCAGCTGCATCAACAAAATGTTTAATTTCACTGCATTGTGTCCTCATCTCTTATCAATGGATCATTCCTTTCAAGTCAAGTTTTCTAATTGTTTAATAATCCTGGAGCAAACAGTGTTTTCAACAGAGACGTTTATTCTAGTGTTTAAAGAGCAAAATTGTCATCTGTGCTTGTTTAATTTCTCAAATATTAACAACTTTTCTTTGGAAAAAGTAAGTGTGCTCACTTCAGATTTGTTTGTGTTGCAAAAAGACAATCATTTAAACCTTTGAACATATTTCTGTAAGACATTTTATGTGTGTTACGAAAAACGACAACAGAGAAGCAGTTTGTATTTTTTTTTGCACTTACTCAATATTTGCCTTTTACTTTGATCTGTAAATATGCATTCATTAAATCACTTCATTTATTTCAACACACAGTTGTATAAAAATGACGACTGCATCGAAATAGTTTAATTTATGTAGTAGATATTGTAGATTTGTATTTATGCAGTGCTAAACATTTCCCTAAAGTTAAACCCTTGATGCAAAACTAAATTGATCCCTCATTCGCTACAGCATATTAGTCAACATAGGGGATGATACAGGTAACAGAGACACAAAGACTTAAACAGTACAGTTAATATCAGTCCTTTCCTAAACCCTTTAAGGGGAATAATCCAGAGGTTAACGAGGTTTCTAAACCAAAAAGGTATATTTTTTGCTGAAGGGAGTGGTCTGAGTTCTTTCAAGTTTTCTCCGAATAATAAAGCAGTGACTGACCCAGAATCAGATCCGAACATTTAGATTTTTTTTTATTGTGAAATACAAAATAAAGACTTTATTTTCTTGACTCATATGATGTGTATTCCTTTTTAAATACTTTTACTTATTTCACAAAAGTTATCAGTATAACATTAGATTTCAGTGTATGCATGTAAGGAAAACTATCCCAAAATTTAATTCATTACATTAAATACAATCACAATAATTCCCAGTCGCTGCACCGCTGAAAATAGTGGTAAAGCATTAGAAAGCCCAGATTTTATTATGTGATTTCCACTAAATTTCACATTTTCTATTTAGAAAAGAGGAATTAGATGAGTATATTACTTAATTTAACAGAAATTAAAGTTAAACATGTTTCATCCCCTTCAGAAAATATGAGATTTAAGTGTCTTAAGTGTTTTCAATAAAACTTGGAGCCCTAGCTTTAGCTCCAGAGAAGAGATCATCGCTGACTAACTTTGACTGCAGCAGCTTTACTTTAAGCTGGTTTCAGTGCCTTTGGCCCAGTAAAAGTTGGAAAAGAATTTGCAGAAGCATACAGTATAGCACTTTATAACATCAATGTAATGTGTGTGAGAAGAACCCAGCTGAAGTCATTCTGCTGGTCTCAGCGCTGAGACCTTCACCTGGATACATCATTACTGATTACTTTAATTAATCTTAAATTGGAGCAAAGATTCTCCAATTGGATTTTCTGATGATGGCATTTAAATAAATGTTCAGCTGTATGATTTGAATTAGAACATGATACGAAGTTACTATGGTGACTTTTGGTAACATAACACTGCAGTTAAGAGAGTTATTGTGTTGGCTTAAATTCCATCCTCCGTTAATCTTCAAATTCTTGTCAGGAATAAACCTCTCAATCTGTCCTCCACTTATATGAACTTTATCTGTACATGTGCAATGCCATTTATATTTTTTTCCTTTATTTAGATACAGATACATATTGAATTTTGGTCTGATCACAGCACACCTTTTTCTACAAGCATTTGATTGGTTTTCTTCAGCAGTGGAGCATTGATCACTGAGTGTGCTTTCTGCCAGTTTTCCTTCACTCTTGGACAACTACTCAGATTAATTTTGGACTTATCATTTAGAACTATTTTGTGACCGGGTTACGGTTAGATTATTTTTCTTTCAACTTCTGACATATGGCTAAAAAAGAGACATATTTTCAGAAGCTTAGGAAAAATCCTGAAAAATGTATTGCTTTGTTTTGTTGCAATAAGTTTGGAAAAATCTCTTTGGCTTCCATAATTTCCTCCTTGTTTGATTCCTTGGAAATGTGAAGACTTTTTAATGCAACAAAATAAGGCCTTAAAAAGATGACCTGCACTGATTAAGGACAGCATTGCTTTATAAATACTGATATGTTTCAGACATTTTCTGGGCTTCTATGTCTTTTCTCCACTTTTTTTCACTGTTCCTTTCCTGCTTAATGTCATTCTACTTTATTACAGCTTATTTACATTTTTTAGGTGGCTTCATGTATTTACTTTGAAAAACATTTATGAATTTCTCCTGCCCCAAATAAAATAAGTAAAGCAATTTAATTTCCTTTATAACGCAAATAATGGTAATTTAGTAAGTATTTGTGGAAATTTCTTATTTGCAAGACAGTTTATCTTACTAGAGGCATTTCATACTCCTAGAAACATATGCACAAATTACTTTGGTCATTTGAGATTGAAAATCCATATGTAATGGCAATTCTGCAATTTTTTTCTAAACATATAAAAAAATCATGAAATGTGTTGCTCTAAAAGTGCAAAAGATTACACTGCTTACAACTATTTAGGATTGAATTGAGGAGTTAAATGGTTGTCAAGATTTCTGTTTCTGGATTTTGTGGGTATGTCTCGACATAGAAATGGGGAGAAAAACAGAAATGGGGGAATGAGGTGAGGTAGGGAAGAGGAGGAGATGCTCTGAAGTCCTTTTGAGGCTGCGTGCAGCCATTAGCCAGGCGCTATCCATGTCAAAATAGAGTTTCTTCAATATTATTCAGCCTGCTGATTGCCTAAATTTCTTTGGCTAGGCTATCCTTGTTATTAGCACATTTAACTAACCTCCATAGAAGGAATTTATAAATTAACAATCTGATGCAGGCCATGAGGAACGAGGTTGATGGTCACAATGGTCAGTGTTTGGTGGCTCAAATGACTTGGGCTTGAGAAGTCCAATCATGGACTCCCAGCTTTGAACAATATTGTCATATCTGTACAAAGCATGGGGATGAAAACAACCCTGCATGTGGGAGCAGTTTCAGCACCTCTTGAGGAGTTTGGTGGTGGAGGCGTGCCTGAACGTTGAGCCACGCCCTGATCTGCATTTTGCAGTCAGGGGTCACTTTTTGGTAAACATGAATCTGAGGAATTTAGCGCAGACAAGAAGCTATTTACTAAGTGCTATCAAGGAGCTGCTACGATCTGAAAACATCTGAGCTCCATCTCACAGGACTTCATCTTAGGCTCACTGCAAAAACAATCTAGATATAAGTCAACATTTCTTAAATTCAGCCCTAATTTGAGCAGGTAAATAATATGATCTGTCAATGGAATGGATATTTCTACTCTTCAAATAAGATAAATTAGATATTATGCACTTAAAATAAGAAAGTACAATCATTTTTTTCTTATTTTTAATGTAAATCGTCTTGTTCCATTGGAAAAGTATCCCACATACCTCCTCAATTCAAGACTAAATGCACTTATTTAAAGAAAAAAAAAATGATTCATTTAGATAGAAAAAAATTCCAGTGCTCCTACCTCCTATCCTTTGACCTTTCTCTAGAACACCAGACTGCTGTGCTGAAACCCGACTGTCCCGAATGTCATTATGCCACGGACACGAGTGATCCTTGTCGAATTGGGACTACAGCCTTTCAGAAAAGAACTACAACAAGCAAACTACATAAATGTAGCCAACAGCTTAGGTTCTCCCTATGAAAACTCAAAACATATGGAGGTGTGTACATTAGCATGTGTTACACCGAGTACACTTAAAAAAATACTGTATTTTTCTTAAATTGTGAAAAGTAGGCCTATACGTCCTGTCCCCCAAACGACTGTTGCTAACCCTATAGCTCCTAAATGCCGGATAGCAATGTCAGGAGGTATATAAATGAACTGGTGATGATAGGAAGCATCCCGTTTCCTCTTCCTAGCTCCTCCCTTGCTATTTGGACAGCACTTATTTACAGTAGATGACTACGGACGCACTTCCGCTCTGGCTTAAATGTCTTTAACAATTTGCACTATTTGGAAGGAGCCTTACATCTTGAGCGAAAACCTTTCTTGTCAATGTTTGTATTATAACCAGAAGTAAACAGTAAGAGATTTTTGACCAATGAAAATTTAAAGAACAAGGCTTTATGTAGTATTTATTATTTTCTCAGTTAAACTATAATTTTATTCAGTACCAATGTAGACATTATTTGAACATTCTAAGAAATCTTTTTTATACAAAAGTTGCATCAATGATTAAGTGGAAGACTTGATAATAAGTAAAAAGTGAGTGGGAACCTCTGCAGAGGCTTGAAATCTGGGCTTCAAGCATTTTGTTAAATAGTTTCCTTTTTAAAATACACATCACTAATATACATTCATCTAGTTCAACACCTAAATGGGTTTTATTTTCCTGTGAGCGAAATAAAAAGACATCACAAAGGAAATAAAATAAAACGCTTCACTGGAGCTTCAGCATTATGTAACAAACCACAAAGCAGACAGTCAGCTGACTCCAATTCCAGTCAGATTTCCTAAAATAAATCCCATTTCCATGTGTTCTATTATGTTTTTCATATTTGAAAATGCCTTCAAAGAAACTCCGATTTTCAGCTTCACAGGTGGTGACGTGTTCATGATAGAAAAGAA